GTGTTACATATAGGGCACGCACATTTTAGCTCTTGTTCGTTTATAATAAATTAATAAGAGCTAAATTGGTGATGATGCTGAAGAGCCGGACGATGGAGTTTTTTGCATCGTTGAACTCTTCAGCATCATCATCCTCCTTAAATTAATAAGAGCAAAAACGTGCATAGAATTTAATGGTGATGATGCTGAAGAGGTGGATGACGGAATTTTTCTGCATGGAGGACTTTTATAAAGCATAAAACACGCGATTTTTCATTAATTAATACAAAATAATACTTTAAATTAAATTTAGACAACTAAATCCTATTATCTACGTTCAAAAAGTAGATAGAAACACAACATACCCTCACGAGATATAACCTCGAGACACGAGACGTTTTATATTGTGTTTTCTCCCTTTATATAACCGAAAATATCATTTATATACAGAAAAATTATTTATTTTAACACACTCCAGTGTTAGAAGCTCTCTCTCTCTCTCTCTCTTAAGAGGCATTCTCTTCTTTTATCATTCGTCTCCTCTCTTCCCTTTTGTGAGAATCTCGTGAGTTTACTTTACTTCAGCAACTATAACAATTGTCGATACTCGAGCAGAATAAAAACTTTCATAAACACTCTCTCAAACGCTTAAGAGAGCAACGAAAGGGTGGCCATCTGTTGAATGCTCTGTATGATTTACTGTCGAGTGCAGAAGGTCACCACGACTTAACTTTGCTGATACCATTGAAGATGGAGGACCTCTCCTGTTCTCACGACACACGTAAACATTAATCATACAGAAATCACCACTTCTTAATAGCAAAACGTGTAAGCTATTACTATTATTACTAAGAAAAATGCAGTTAAAATTAAAAGAAAAATTCTGAATCTCCATCCTCATCCCCCTTCTCCGGATGAGGAGCAATTCATCTAGATGCCTGTCAGATTCATTCTATGGGATTCGGATATTGGAAACTGGAGGGGGGGAGTTTCTCTTGTACACGTAACAAATCTTAGAGGCACACCTCTCGAAAATACATGCGAAGACCACACCTTCTCTATGATAAAATAATGCGGCCTCAACTCGAACTTGAATCATTAATTTATATGAGATTAAGGGACTGATATAAATGGGATGCCCTTTTTTTTGTAGCCTTTTCTAGGTTTAATTAAGATGAAAATCTTGTTATCTACGAATGGCTGTAATTACTTAAATTAAAGGAATCTTCTGCATTAATTTAGCAGGATTACTGACTTCCTTAATGTTTTAGTAGGCGATCAATCTTCTGTCGCATTTTCTCAAATGCCATAAAACGTTTCGCTTTAAGAGCGGAAATTGAGTAAAAATCAAAGATCGAAAGACGTTTAGGTGTACGTACGAGCTGTCAGAATGTCTGATATTCTCACAAATGCTCGAATATACAATCAATAAGCCGTTAAATTGAAGTTTTGAGCATCCTACAACTTAATTTTTAGTAAAAATAAAACAGGAGAAGGTTCTTTTTTTATTTTAAACTATAGCTCCATTATCAGCAGCTTGACACGTCCTTTACGAAGCTCCCCCAACTCTGTACTTCCTCACGGGTGTCTGGATCTACCTCAAAATAACAAAAGTATTATACTAACCTGTTACACTTCCAACCTGCGTTGAAAGGGCCGAGTGCATTACCCTTTAGAAAAATCACACTGGGGCGAAATTTTATCCTGAATTAACAACACCAGCCCTGAGACCGAAGGGGAATAAACAGGTTTCTCTCGCGAAACAACTCGCATCTTGTCATTGGGCCCTGGAGCTCAATAGCGGTCCCTTTCATCTAGCTACCGCTGTGGCCCATAGCCTCTTACTATACCAAGTGTTTTTTTTTCTTCCCCTCTCTTCCTCTTCTTCCTACCGAGGCATTTAACTTTAAGAATTTATACCTGGAGGATAAGATACGTCTTATAACCCACCATCCAGGTGTATTTGTTTGGTCTTATTAAAAAGTAGAAGTTACTCAATTTGCTTTTTTTGTGTCACCGTTAACGAGTAGACTCAATTATGGCTGATATTGTTAACGGAATTTTTATCGTTATGATAATGATAAGGGTTGGACGTGATACCACTTTATTATACTGATTATGCTGATTTACTGTTGGATATGCACATCTGGAGCCTCTAAAAAAAAGGAAGGGGGCGAGCGAACACATTCCAAAATCCAGAACTTACACCGAATTGATTTTACTTTAGAGCAATGCTTATCTTCAGGATTATTAATGTATAAGATAATAAATATGGCGTATAATATATATATATATATATATATATTCGTTTTGTTGATGGAGAGACAAGCAACGATATCCTGCAATCACCTGCAACACGATTAATCGATCGATGATTCATCTATCGTAAACGTTGCCGATCGATTGGTTATTACCTATAAATTGCCCTTATAAATTTCTTGTTACTGTAGTAATAAACAGGCTAGCGCCATCTACCGAGTCATTTGGGTTTGACCTATTATTTATTTTAAGCGGTTCCTTGCAATTCGGGCGTTGAATAAATAAACATTTCAACGCGTAGAATTACAAAAGGATGGTGAAAATTTCTAAACAACCCCCCTTGGTAAGCGTCCAAACGTGAAATTGATATCATCAGATATAATTTAAACTGTTATAAACTAATCCCCCCTCATCTGTTGCTACTTTTAAGAAATATATTTAAAGTCTCTAGTAGTTCAAGGACGGTTTAAACACCCCACGACAATTTTCGTATTGTTTTCCTTACATTTTTAAGTGTTATAAAAATGTTTTCTAGATATAATTTCGATGGACTATAACCTTATAATCTAAAGTTTAAAATACAGATATTATTTACGTAAGGTGATGAATTAATTTCTTAATATTTACACGAGATTAATACTTTAAAAAACGCAAGCGTAATGAAATTTTAATTCGATGTAAGCGCGATAAAAATTTAAAAAAATAATTTATTGTAAATTTAATGGTATTGCTGGAGATACTGTTTCAAGGTTATTCTTGCTGGAAAGTACATTTAAACAATGTAATTAATATTTGTAAATTTCATTGAAATCGATTAAAATTTACGTGAAATGAACAAAAATTATAAATTGTATATTTCGATTAAATTAATTGTTGAAATTTACAAAAATTAATTACATCAATTTCACATAATTATGTACTTTTCAACAATACAATTAAATTGTATTGCTAGAAATACATTTAATAATAATGAAATTATTCAATTAACAGATATAAATGGCATTGTTTGATGTCGTTTAAAGATTATTGTTATTGCTTGAAAGTATATTCAAGCAATGTATGAATTTTAATAATTAATTTCTTTTATTTTTCGTATAATTTTTAGAGATTGTAAGCTATACTGATGTAATTAATTAATCTTGTTTGCTTGTACTTTCTAACAGGAATAATAATTTTGGGACATTAATAGGGTTATTTATACTGTTATTATTATTATTATTATAAAGTATATCCAGCAATAAAATTAACATATATTGTTGGATTTACGTTGAAAGAGTGATATTCTTTGTTTTGTTTTTCAAACGTGATTGCTTTTGGATTGTTATTTGAACTGTTATTACGAAGGGGTGGTCTTTGTATAGTGTTCACATCCGCGTGATTTTAATTCTCGTGACTGGCTGTGAATATTTGAATGGACGAGAGTGGATTTTTTTTTGTATTTCAGCAAACAATTTTAATCAATTCTGCATTCATTCATAAAGAATTATGTGAGAAAAAAAGATCCACAGATCAATAATAAGTTTATAAATATTAATAAATGTGTAAATTATGTTTATCAAAAGCTAAATTTAAGTCGGATTTGTGTGTGGTTGAGTGCTTTTTAACTTATTCAATTTAATAGAAACGTGTCTTCAGGTAAATTACCTAAAAAATTGTTAAGAAGCAGAAGGCGTTGCCTTTAATGGCAGGTGGTTTCTCCTTTTTGTCAAACAATTAAAAGGACATAAACGAATGGGGGAGAGAAACTTTATAAAGAAAAATTGGGCAACCTTTAGATAGATCTCACTTAACAAAAAGTTCAGCAGATGTTGCCTTGTAGTATTTTTTTCTTCTCCTGTCTGTTTTTTCTATATAAAATACAGGACAGCATCACATGCCACGCTCACAAATCAGTTATTATTGCTTTTCTAAATTATTTATTGTTAGGCATGTGTTTCGCTGTCGGCTTTTTACAATGCTTTACGGAAAGCATTAAAAGAACAATGCATTCGATTATTATTTGTATTTTGAATAATATAATTTAGCTCTAAGCTAAAGAATATTTTATTTAACTTTTGTATATTCAGTGAATCAGGGAGGTTGTGTACTACAAAAATTATAGGGGGAACCCAGAAAGGTGTGCTTGGTTCTTAAATTTCTCAGTTTGATACAAAAGGGAGGTTGTAATTCTCACTTTTACATCGTTTTGTGAGGTTTGAAGCGGTGGGAATTGAAAAAAAATGAAGTAATTTTTGTGATTTTTACATCGCAAATAATTTATGTTAAGTGAATGTAAATAGAATAAACGGTATATATTTTTTTTTAAAGAAAAATCTTCCTTTCCTTGAGGGTCACGACACGGAATAAATTATTATTCTATGGTGGCAACCTCGGCTCCCTTCTTGAAATTCCTGTTCGCGAACCCACCCCTCGAGCTACCTCTGACTCACCATGGGTGGAGGTGACAATTTTCGGAAGAAAATAAACTTGTTTTTGTAGAAAGACACATTTCGATAAACGTTTTAAGTAATAAATTAATTCAATTCATCAAAATATTTTCAAAGGCCGTCTGTAGGTTAGCGCACTTAAGAAAAGAAATAAAAAAAATAAACCTTGGAAAATAAAAGTAATAAAATTTTATATAAATGTAAGAAGTTGAGGTCACGTGATCAATTTGGAGTGAATCGATGCGGACGGAATCACCCGCGATAATCGTTGATTATGTCAAACATGCATGAACATGCATGAGTACAGGATATAATTCCTACTCCTTCTCTTTCCAGCTGCCGGCGATATCGATTGGTATTGTCAGGTAAAGGACCACTATATCACCACGTACGTCCAGGAAACAGACCTTATTGTATCCTCCGACCGTCCTGTGTACGTGAAACACTTGTACGATAAAGCAGCAGCGACTCCTTTACCTCTGATCAGAGCCATTGATAAATTCAGAACCGATGGAGTGCGAGGTTCCAAAATATTTGCAAGGACACCGGTTTTAGAAGAGACATCGAAGAAAAATAAAAACTTAGACATCGAAACGAGAAGGGTAAGTTTATAGTTTAATTATTTATTCATTTATTTAAATCATAATATAGATATCAGACCCCACCAAAACTTAACTAGAAACACGTCTACTTTGCATATATTTTTACTTAAAAATCGACGTCTTTGTGTATAGAATGGGCATTCCTTAGGCTATTGTTAACTACAACTGCTCTTGCTCGAAGGGGGTAACCGTTCAAAAACCTTAACAAACAAAGGATATTGGAATTTTCAATATTTTATATTACCTTACTCTGCTTAAATTACGATAGCATGAATCCAATTTTGGTGGATGTCGGGATGAAAAACACTGTAACTTATTCATCTGTAGAAATTTATAGATCACTTTTCCCCCGATCTATATTCGGTATGAGAGAGAGAGAAGCATGCCGAATTCCATGAAGTTAGAAGTACAGAATTCCAACTTTTAGTGGCCAAACTTTCGAACAGAATGCGGTAACGACCCAGGTTCTGTCTTCTCAAAATATCGTTAAGTCCCTAATTAAATTCTCTTTAGAAGAGTGTAGATACAGTAGTCTCTTATAGATAGGTCTTTACGATGTTCACTTAAATGATTTTTCTATAGAATAATATATAAAGCTGGTAGATCTTAGTTGATGATGCCATTAATCCGCTTTTATCTCGAAAAAAAATCGAATAAATTAAAGCCTTCAAGTCATTCATTTTACTTAAATTTTGAATATATCTTCCCCCTTGATCCATAAAGAAAATTACCCGCTTTTATCATAGATTATAATCATAAAATATATATATATGTATTTTTATCTTTTATCATACACGCCTGAAGAGATAATCTATCTTATAAGAACGAATTAAATTTGCATGAATTTAATTTATGGTATTTAATCTTGTTTGCCTGGTAAGAAGAATTGATAATGTGGGTCATTCCTGCACACGCACGGACCAACTATTTTATAAGAATTAATAGGTAAAATTGAAAATAAGTAGTTTAGATACTTAAGGAGAAGGGGAAAAAAATCACAGAGTCAGCAAAGAAAATTATTAGAATCAAGTTTTATTGCTCTACCTTAATCTGCATAAAGGTTATTGATTGAGGGTTGTTACATCCCCCTGTTTTTTTTTAAAGTGGTTAATCGATTTGAAGTTGAATCACGAAGGTACCGTAACACTTTTTTAAAACTTTCTTTAAAGATTATGTTACCCCAATAAAGTTTTTACAATGGTTGTAAAACACGTACTTACATACATGCTCGGTTAAAAAATTACCGATTTTGTGAGGCCCAGTACAAAATGAAGGGAGGCCTTTTCGAGATGCCGATGGCTAAGTATTAATTCAAGCGTGGGACTCCCTTAATCTTCCTTAAACGTGGGGCCTTGTGTGAATATACACCACATGAAGTTAGCTGTGTAAACGAGCGAGTTGCTTCTAATTAAAAGTTTCTTCGTATCTAGAAAATCTACAATTTATACATTAACTGTTAAGCCAAACAATGAGTAATTTTATGTAATTTAACGAATGATTGCGGCTATTCATTTATTGTAAAAACATAAATCAGTGAAGCGACGTGGGAGGTTAAATTCCCGTAATTAGTCTGTTATGTTCTAATGAGTTTAACAAATCTACCGATCAATTATTAATCCTAATGATTCCTGTTTCGATCGATCATAATGATTTTTTTTCCTTTCCTTTTTCCCCTCTTCCCTCCTTCGATCAATTCGTGGATAGGTTCGAGATCAGAAAGCAAACAACAAGGCTTCTATCAATCCAGTTAAACTTATTTTTCCTGATTCAATGAGTTTTTCTAAGTTAATTTTAAACGCTTTCCTTTAAATCGGCAAACGAATTCGATTAATTTAATCACATTTAACAATTCTGTGATTTAATTAATCACTTAACAATCACGCTGATTTCGCGTGAGTAATTAAAGCGATTTAATCGATCGATTTCAATCAGCGAGTGATTTAACTTAATTGTAATCAGTTTCAAGTGTTCGGTCGAAGTTTTAACAATGAAATTAAACTTTCCACGTGATTAGATTATAACGGTTAAAAAGGAAATTGAAACTTTTAAATTTACTAACGTCAAACTTTTCAATTATGGTAAATGCTTTTGTTATTATTCTTTGAAGCCCGCAAGTTTCGCATTGGCACGTGATTGGGATGAACTGGAAATAACATTTTTGAAGAACGAGTGTTCAGGACCGTGTCAGACCGTGGCTCCATCTCGTGACATTATAGCAGATTTGACTCGTTTACCATCTCCAGAGGAACGGACTCTCGCCATGTCGCTGGAATATCCATCAACGGTTGTACCCATTGATATAACAGGGAACAGTTTCCAGAGGATGTCAAGTCTTAGACGCTCTTTACTACACGTAAGTAGTTTACAAGTAGGTTTTTATAACAATATGATTGCTTGTAAAAATGTTTAAACGTTAACGTAATTATGTATTGATCCGAATCCGCCACACCCATGAAGATAAAAATGCTAGTTTAATAGTAATGATTTTTTTTTTACTGTTACATTTATATTTATTCCTATTATTTGTATTGTTAGAATTAATTTTAAAGGATGATTTTTAAATTTTAAATGTGTAATTTTTTAAAAAACAAAAAAAAAAAAGTTTTAAACTGTTAACAGAAATCAGAAGACTGCTTACATTTTTCTGTGTGGGGTTATTTTTAAAATTCTATACGATGAGGTTTTTTCTCTCTTGTGTCGAGGAGTGCTTTATTGTTGGATTATAAAGAGGGCATTGTATTGAAGACATCATATCGTAGAGAAGTGCTTTAAAAACCTGATATTTTTCACTAGAGACGATGACCAGGTGTCTTCGCACGCTTCAAAGATGCATTGTACTACTATGTTTTGACAATTACACACACACACACACAGACACAAAAACAGATTTAAATAATAGAAAAAGAAATGGCTGAAGTGTTTTTGTTATAAGAAAAAATCATTTCGGTTTCTTTTAAATCGTTTTAAGTGCAGATACTGAATTTCTCTGCCGATTATTTCTATTTCTGTACACTTTCAAGCCGCGAATTGTTATGATTGAAAGGAATTATAAACATCCTGCGCTAATTACTTACACAGAGTGAATATTATGAACAAATTTAAAGGCTCGCGTACAGCAGCGACAGTGTTGATACCATCTAATTTTTCATGTAATTTAATTAATTCTAATTTTAATTAGTGGTTAATTAGATGAAACGTTTATGAACTAAGCGATTAGATAACACAGAAACAATTTATTGTAGACAGGGAAATTTTCGTTTATTGTTTTATCGCAATTTTTCAGGGAAGTAATTTTGTTTTATTTATTTTTTTAAGGTCGACTTTTTCATCAAACGAAAAAAGCAAAAGAAAAACAAACGAAGAAACACAATCTCAGGAAGCACGAGTAAAGAACTAGAAGAGGCCTTAAGGAAAACGACAAGCAAAGCTCTAGTAGACACTTCTTGTCAGACAGAAGAGTGTACCGAAGTCGGTTGGTTCGGAAAAATATTCAACAAAAGGAATTCTTTAATTAAACGTGAGAAAAAGTCACCCCAGGAGGAAAATAATAATGTACTTTCGAAAATAACAGCATCAGTACGAAACCGTGATAGCGTCAATCTCTTTGATTCCATAGAATCTTCTAAGTCAAGCAAAAAATCCGAAAGGAACAGTTTAGTTATTAAAGATAAAGCAGAAAGCTCCACTACAAAGAAAACGCCGTCCACTAGTAAAAGCAAGATGCGAAGCATTTTGCCAATATCTACTCTATCAGCTGCTATGACAGTAGCGGTAAAGTTGAGGCAGTGCAAGAAAAATGGCGACGATGGTAGATCGTCTAGTGGTAATTGGAGCGCGAGCAGCAGCACTCGAGTTTCTGTAGATTCGGACCAACAGCAGGTTACCTCCTCCTCTAACGGTGCATGCAGTCCATCCCAAAGTTCGCTGGGTAAAGATTCTGTGCTATCCGATTACACGCCTCAGGATACAGATACAAGGTAAATATTTCTTTTACATTAATTAATTAACGTATATTTAATTTAATTAAAATAATCTTTTTGTGAAATTTAGTAGATCCCAAGAAGGTAGTAGAGCTAGCAGAACGGATAGGCGTCCACTTTCTCTCATGTCACCGAAAATTGGGGAGGACAGCACGCATTCCTGGTTGCAGTCGATTGAACAGGATTGCCAATCGGGTACACTCACACCTGATAATTGCCCTTCTGATTCCACGAGTACTCCTCATGTTCTATCGCCGTATATAAGGAGGAGGAGATATTGCCAAAACGAATCTTCACCACCAATTATGGATGATGAAGGCTCTTCGGTTTATTCCGTCGACACCGATGGCTATTATACGTCTATGCACACGGATAGTGGTTTGAAAACTAGAACTCCTCAACACGAGTGTCGTGCCAGGAGGGATTCTGACAGTTCCGTTAGTACTCTTGGAAATGTTAGTGTGAATAGTCTACTTTCCAGAGCCACGATAGGCAGATCTTCTAAGTCCGACAGCTTCAGGGAGGAGAGGAAGATTCCACCTCCACCTCCTGTAAGGATATCTAGTGTGAAGAGGGATTCTAGTAGTGATGGTACGGGGAGCCAAAACAATGGTGACACGTCCACATCAGAGTCATCAGACAGAGATACCGTAGAGAGGTTACGAAAGAAAACAGCCATTAATTCAAGTCGTTATCCTTCCATGTGTGCGGTGTCTCCGGAGCCTAGTGATGACGAATCGAGCAAACCCAAACAGGTTGATTCTACACGAGGGAAAAGCCCACCGAAGTTTAACATGTATTCGGATCAATCACCCCAGAACTCAAAGTTTGTATCGTTCTTTCGAAGGAGCAGATCTCCGGAAGAAGCTATAACCGAACGTAATCAAAGTTTGGTAACATCCTTCTCTCCGGAGCATCCAGAACAGCCTAAGGCAAGCGAAGTAAAGAACGAACAAGTTAAAAACGAACAGATAAAGAACGACCAGGTGAAAGCAACTAACAGGTTATCTATCTCTTCGGTGTTTACGGAGGAAGGAAGATCGACAATCAAAAGAGTTTCTTTATCAAATTCAGATAAACCACAGAACCAGTCCAAATCTTGTAGTTTGATACCAAAAGCTATTGAAAGACCAGTAGCGAGAGTTACGTTAGACCCTAATGGTCGAGTTATATTTTCGTCAAATTCTTTAGGAAGAAGACGCGATGGTCAACCTTTAAGATCTCCACCCTCTCCAGTTTCCGAACAGAAATTTGCAACATTACCAATGCGAAATTCTCATAACGTATCGTCTTCTCCTATAATTGCACATAATGGAACATTTATGAGATTAGAACAACCCGCTAGAATCAAATCTCCTGTTCACGAACAGAGAACTAAATCATTAATGAACCCAGTTCAAACTCAATCGGAACCAAAAAGGAATGAAAGCTGTTACAAGAGAACATTATGTGGACCCAGATTACCGATGAATGGTTACATACCTACATCTGTAATTTCACGAAATGCGATAAATGATAGTGAGGAGTGTTCATCATCACCTAATGGTCAGTTACCAACAGTGCCTCCGGAAATGCCCCCACTGTCCAGGTTCGCTAATCAACATTCCACAAAAAGAAATTCAGATCAAGTTAATGGTTACAGAAATCAGTCTGCACATCACGTGCCTTCATCGATATCAGTTCAAAATAGCTTGAGATCAATAGCTTCATACTCGCCTTATCAATCGTCCATTTATGGTGGAGTGCCCAAACCCACATCACAAGCAACGGACTCTTCTAATTCTAGAAATTCTCTTAGAACAAACTTTTTGTTTCCACACTCTAAAACGGCTCCTTCTCTATCTTCGTCCAATATATACTCCAATTTATATTCTAGAACTCCGAAACAAAATACTTCGCCTACTACACCCTTTAACAATGGTTTAACACCAACTAAACAAGTTAGCTTCTGTCCTATAGATAGGCCAATGCAAAATGGTGTGAATTCGAGAATTAAACAACCAAACATATGCACGAGTATATCATCACCTAGCATTTATAACAGGCATAATGGAGACGTTTCAAAGACTACAACCTTCAGAAACGGCTCACCACAATCTCCAACATCACCACATTCAAATGTGCAGCAATCTTCACCATCCATATTAAGAACTTCAAATGGTACAGCTTCACCCTATGCTAAATCGAATATCAGGATGACTTTTAATGGTTACCAGAGCCCAAATCGTCCTTCCTCTATAGACAGGTTGAGTCCTAGTTCACGCTGCGATTCACCCGGTTTGTGCACCTTTTCTAAACAATCGCCTACGAATAAATTTCAAAATTCTCCAAGTACAAATGGAGTCGAGAGGAAGACTTTGATGACAACTGCCGATCTTTTCGCAGCTATACACAACTCGAAAAAGAAGCATAACATAAAAACAGACTTGGATATATCGTCCTCCTCCTTATCTTCTCGTTCTAGTTCTCCTTGCAATTCTACCACCTCAACTAAAAGTGTCCTAGCCGAAACTGGTTTCCTTAGCCCTAGAAATCAACTAAATATACCAAGAGATAGGAGAAGCTGGATAGGGGACTATAAATCGTTTTCACTACCTTCCGGTGATAGGAAAAGTCTAGCCAATGACCGTTTAGGACCTCCAAAACCGACCAGTATGTACGATTTTAAGATGCTACTCTTACAAGCCAGCAGAAACAATAACGACAGCCCCGGTGCAAGAATATCCGCGTCAGAGAGGTTAAAAGTTCAACCCAAGAACGAAATCAATGCCACGCGATCTCTACCGACGTCACCGATTAGAACTCCTCCACCGATTTTAACTGGTCATTCGACTGTGCCCATTAAGCGTGGTTCAAAAGCCAGATCGTCTCTACGTTACGATCTCATGTATCAACCTATTCTAGAAGATTGCTGCGAAGAAACCGAAGCACAAAAAAGTCCCAAAACCCCTCCAACTCGAACCCCTCTAGAAACATCCTTCGTCAATTCGACACCCAGCTGTGCCAATAATCTCCCCCCTCCTCAGCATTGGACTCAAGCATTCGTTCCCATTAGAACTGCCAATTCACGAGGTGCCAGCACATGGGTATAACGTTATTAATAACAAAGAAAATTTTTTTTAAAGTGTAATTTTTCATGTGCATTTAACTATTTAAAAAACAATGATTTTTCTTTGTCATTTATCGCACCACCCAATTTGTAAATGAGCAATGTGCCTTTTTATATAAGCTTAATTTCACGCTCAAATTGAGTTGTATAATCCAATTGGCCGCATGTTTTCTGTGCCTTTTTTAGGATACAGGAATTAAAACCTCAGGAAGTAGCATGACCTATGTACAGATGCATTTATTTATAAACAGTATTAAAAAATACCCGGTAACAAATCGATACAGAGAAGTACAAATCGCTAACATGAAGGGGGGATACGCAGCTCTTAGTACCTTTTCCTCGTATATGCCACACACACACACACACACACACACAAAGCTACCTTTTTCCTATTATCTTCCTCCTGTTTTTGTTAAGGACACCACGTGTAAGTTCACTGTTTGTTGACACAAAGTAGGATATCGTGTTGCAGATTATGTGACAGTTATTCCAAAAGTTGGCATGGCGTATGTACGCCATAAAAGCCAAGGAAGTGGTCACATAGTCTTTATATGTCTCGTGAGTTAAGTATAAGGTCCTTTCCCTTAGCCCATCTGTGCTTAGTTACAGGGGTAGCTTGGGGTTAAAATTATTAAACTAACGTTTAGATATCCTATCACCTCTTTTATCTATTAAATTTTTTAGAAGCACGGCCCATTGCTCAATATTTAAATAGTTCCTTTACACANTATATATGTAATTTTTTATATTAAAACTTATTTGTTTATTTTATTTCAGAAATTCATTGTCAGGATGTTGGGAAATTATTACGTAAGTGGCATTTTATATCACAATATTATTATAAAACATATATAAACACTCACATATATAATTTAATTATTAATAATAAGAATTATATAAATCCTTTATGAAAAACACCCTGATAAAATTTTCGTAGTAAATGGATCAGATTCACAAATTCGAACCCCTAATTTTTATTATGGGGACCTGAAATAGAACGTGCAAACCCACATCTCTACACTACTAACGTTATGGACGAACAATAAACTTTTAGATGTTTGCTTATTTTTAAAGATAAGGGACCCGGGTTTCCTGGGCCCTTCTTTTGTTATAATACTGTTATCATTAATTACTGTCTTGAGATGCGGACACAGTGGCCCTCAAATTCAGTCTTTTTTTCATAAAACTGCAGGGTCTCCCTGAGGGAAATAAATGAATCAAATTGCTCTGAGCCTCAAGAAAGTAGGAGCCCTATACAATGCTTTTTAGTTTACTTTCTTTATTTTAATAATTAGTGTTTTTAGATAAAAAACTAAATTTTGGGACCTTTTTTGTGCTCAAGTCTTAGGACAAAGAAGGTAATGAATGGGTAGAGAAAAATGTATCAATACTTAATGAACCAATTGGTGCGCCAATACACAATAGTAAGAATTACTGTGTATTGATACATCAATTAGTACACCAATAGACAGGAATGTTCATAAGCAGTTGTTTGCAAATAAACTCATGTACTGATTAATGTTCATGTAATCAGTCTCATGACGGGTAAGGCCTCCCTGACTTTGAACTGATTGAATCGTTTGCTACAAAGCCATTATTGATGTTAATAAAAAATCAATCAGACCATTTTTAAATACTTATAAAGGTTTAAATATTGCAAAATAAAGCTGTAAATGTAGTACACAGGTGAATAGCCACACCAGAATCTCTATTAATCCTGCGATTCTCATCGATAAAAATAGGACAGACATACTGAATTTGTCACATTTTTTTGATTAATATAGACCTAGTTCTTTATGCCAAACACATTTTTCCATTTAAGCTTGGAAAATTAATGCATTTTAATGGTTTAAATCAGGAAAAACACGCATATTAAATCAGGTATATGGCTAGTTTCATTACTGATATATAACCTAATTTATCATGTAAAAATTATTATTATTAACAGGAAATTTAACTCATAAAAATTTATTTTATTAAACTCTGATGGTAAAGACACATAACAATTCTAAAGCTGGAAACTATTGTTATTTTCTATATTTTTTCATTAGGTTTACTAACAGATAAGTCATTTTAGCTCCTGTACAACTTTTATTATAGTAAATTAAATTAGGAGAACCTGTTATGTGTACATCTTGGTGTACAGTAAATATAATGGGATGCCCTCAATTTAATTTTCTATAGAAAAATATGATGTAAGATAATATAAATTAAAGTCTCTCTTGATGAAGGGTAGAGAAAATTACTTGTTTTTATTAGTTATATTGATTTTATTCATATATCTTTATGACTTTATTAGAAGTGATATATGCCAGATGGGACCTGGGCCATATCTAACTTGTCTAATATATAATAAAGTCATAAAAGTACACGAAAAATTAGGGATGAAAAGTCTGAATTAGTCACAAATGTAATTATTTCGGGCTATATCTCCCGAACTAATACTCCGATTTTCCTGAAAATTTGTAGAAATATTTCTCTCTAACACTGAAATCTTCATGCAAAATTTCAGAAATTTTAAACAAAATACACAGGAGTTATTAAGATTCAAATTGAGTGAACAAAATCGGCTCCCCCTCCACACACTAACATCCGTGTTATATTAATATAACAGCGAGAAAATAAAATTAAAATTATATAATTTTATTTTTAAATTAAAGTTTCACTTAATTGAAATTATTATTTTTACTAATTTTCTAAATTATATTAATTATTAAAATAATTAAATTAAAGTACATTACAGAATGTTTTCATTAATAAAAACTAATTGTTTTGTTAAGAAAATTGTAAAATTAATTGAAAACAAGCGTTACCTTTCTAATTATTAGAATTAAAGAAAATAATTAATATATTCCTTCCTTTATATTATTATTCTTTAAATGTTTTAGTTCTAATTAACATGGATAATGTTTCATCTTCAATAAAATTCACTCAGATCTTCCCTCATTCTGTCTGAGAATTAAACGAGGATCCTATTATTTTTATAATGAGATTATGTATTATTAATGTACTAAAACAAGAGACTTACAAGGAGTTTATAAAGCTTATTATTTAAGAATTTAAATAAATTATTAAATATACTTTTACTTATTTAATACATATAATTATTATAACAATAATTACAATGATAGAGAGAGCCAAAAGAGGAATTTGATCCTTGGCCTTTCATCCTGTGTGTCTTTAATACAAAAAAACATAACACCAATCTAATAAAAGGTTAAAATTTCTTTTGATAAAAATCAAATATTATTTGTTTTATCGATTTTATTTATAATTTTTTTATGCTTCTTGGAGAGAGGTCCACATTTGTAACTGGCTTAAGCTTTATCTGACCTCTTTCACATTGTTTAAATGCATGTATTAATGCATACATATCAGCAGCGTAACTAGAACNTGTATTGTTAGAATTAATTTTAAAGGATGATTTTTAAATTTTAAATGTGTAATTTTTTAAAAAACAAAAAAAAAAGTTTTAAACTGTTAACAGAAATCAGAAGACTGCTTACATTTTTCTGTGTGGGGTTATTTTTAAAATTCTATACGATGAGGTTTTTTCTCTCTTGTGTCGAGGAGTGCTTTATTGTTGGATTATAAAGAGGGCATTGTATTGAAGACATCATATCGTAGAGAAGTGCTTTAAAAACCTGATATTTTTCACTAGAGACGATGACCAGGTGTCTTCGCACGCTTCAAAGATGCATTGTACTACTATGTTTTGACAATTACACACACACACACACAGACACAAAAACAGATTTAAATAATAGAAAAAGAAATGGCTGAAGTGTTTTTGTTATAAGAAAAAATCATTTCGGTTTCTTTTAAATCGTTTTAAGTGCAGATACTGAATTTCTCTGCCGATTATTTCTATTTCTGTACACTTTCAAGCCGCGAATTGTTATGATTGAAAGGAATTATAAACATCCTGCGCTAATTACTTACACAGAGTGAATATTATGAACAAATTTAAAGGCTCGCGTACAGCAGCGACAGTGTTGATACCATCTAATTTTTCATGTAATTTAATTAATTCTAATTTTAATTAGTGGTTAATTAGATGAAACGTTTATGAACTAAGCGATTAGATAACACAGAAACAATTTATTGTAGACAGGGAAATTTTCGTTTATTGTTTTATCGCAATTTTTCAGGGAAGTAATTTTGTTTTATTTATTTTTTTAAGGTCGACTTTTTCATCAAACGAAAAAAGCAAAAGAAAAACAAACGAAGAAACACAATCTCAGGAAGCACGAGTAAAGAACTAGAAGAGGCCTTAAGGAAAACGACAAGCAAAGCTCTAGTAGACACTTCTTGTCAGACAGAAGAGTGTACCGAAGTCGGTTGGTTCGGAAAAATATTCAACAAAAGGAATTCTTTAATTAAACGTGAGAAAAAGTCACCCCAGGAGGAAAATAATAATGTACTTTCGAAAATAACAGCATCAGTACGAAACCGTGATAGCGTCAATCTCTTTGATTCCATAGAATCTTCTAAGTCAAGCAAAAAATCCGAAAGGAACAGTTTAGTTATTAAAGATAAAGCAGAAAGCTCCACTACAAAGAAAACGCCGTCCACTAGTAAAAGCAAGATGCGAAGCATTTTGCCAATATCTACTCTATCAGCTGCTATGACAGTAGCGGTAAAGTTGAGGCAGTGCAAGAAAAATGGCGACGATGGTAGATCGTCTAGTGGTAATTGGAGCGCGAGCAGCAGCACTCGAGTTTCTGTAGATTCGGACCAACAGCAGGTTACCTCCTCCTCTAACGGTGCATGCAGTCCATCCCAAAGTTCGCTGGGTAAAGATTCTGTGCTATCCGATTACACGCCTCAGGATACAGATACAAGGTAAATATTTCTTTTACATTAATTAATTAACGTATATTTAATTTAATTAAAATAATCTTTTTGTGAAATTTAGTAGATCCCAAGAAGGTAGTAGAGCTAGCAGAACGGATAGGCGTCCACTTTCTCTCATGTCACCGAAAATTGGGGAGGACAGCACGCATTCCTGGTTGCAGTCGATTGAACAGGATTGCCAATCGGGTACACTCACACCTGATAATTGCCCTTCTGATTCCACGAGTACTCCTCATGTTCTATCGCCGTACATAAGGAGGAGGAGATATTGCCAAAACGAATCTTCACCACCAATTATGGATGATGAAGGCTCTTCGGTTTATTCCGTCGACACCGATGGCTATTATACGTCTATGCACACGGATAGTGGTTTGAAAACTAGAACTCCTCAACACGAGTGTCGTGCCAGGAGGGATTCTGACAGTTCCGTTAGTACTCTTGGAAATGTTAGTGTGAATAGTCTACTTTCCAGAGCCACGATAGGCAGATCTTCTAAGTCCGACAGCTTCAGGGAGGAGAGGAAGATTCCACCTCCACCTCCTGTAAGGATATCTAGTGTGAAGAGGGATTCTAGTAGTGATGGTACGGGGAGCCAAAACAATGGTGACACGTCCACATCAGAGTCATCAGACAGAGATACCGTAGAGAGGTTACGAAAGAAAACAGCCATTAATTCAAGTCGTTATCCTTCCATGTGTGCGGTGTCTCCGGAGCCTAGTGATGACGAATCGAGCAAACCCAAACAGGTTGATTCTACACGAGGGAAAAGCCCACCGAAGTTTAACATGTATTCGGATCAATCACCCCAGAACTCAAAGTTTGTATCGTTCTTTCGAAGGAGCAGATCTCCGGAAGAAGCTATAACCGAACGTAATCAAAGTTTGGTAACATCCTTCTCTCCGGAGCATCCAGAACAGCCTAAGGCAAGCGAAGTAAAGAACGAACAAGTTAAAAACGAACAGATAAAGAACGACCAGGTGAAAGCAACTAACAGGTTATCTATCTCTTCGGTGTTTACGGAGGAAGGAAGATCGACAATCAAAAGAGTTTCTTTATCAAATTCAGATAAACCACAGAACCAGTCCAAATCTTGTAGTTTGATACCAAAAGCTATTGAAAGACCAGTAGCGAGAGTTACGTTAGACCCTAATGGTCGAGTTATATTTTCGTCAAATTCTTTAGGAAGAAGACGCGATGGTCAACCTTTAAGATCTCCACCCTCTCCAGTTTCCGAACAGAAATTTGCAACATTACCAATGCGAAATTCTCATAACGTATCGTCTTCTCCTATAATTGCACATAATGGAACATTTATGAGATTAGAACAACCCGCTAGAATCAAATCTCCTGTTCACGAACAGAGAACTAAATCATTAATGAACCCAGTTCAAACTCAATCGGAACCAAAAAGGAATGAAAGCTGTTACAAGAGAACATTATGTGGACCCAGATTACCGATGAATGGTTACATACCTACATCTGTAATTTCACGAAATGCGATAAATGATAGTGAGGAGTGTTCATCATCACCTAATGGTCAGTTACCAACAGTGCCTCCGGAAATGCCCCCACTGTCCAGGTTCGCTAATCAACATTCCACAAAAAGAAATTCAGATCAAGTTAATGGTTACAGAAATCAGTCTGCACATCACGTGCCTTCATCGATATCAGTTCAAAATAGCTTGAGATCAATAGCTTCATACTCGCCTTATCAATCGTCCATTTATGGTGGAGTGCCCAAACCCACATCACAAGCAACGGACTCTTCTAATTCTAGAAATTCTCTTAGAACAAACTTTTTGTTTCCACACTCTAAAACGGCTCCTTCTCTATCTTCGTCCAATATATACTCCAATTTATATTCTAGAACTCCGAAACAAAATACTTCGCCTACTACACCCTTTAACAATGGTTTAACACCAACTAAACAAGTTAGCTTCTGTCCTATAGATAGGCCAATGCAAAATGGTGTGAATTCGAGAATTAAACAACCAAACATATGCACGAGTATATCATCACCTAGCATTTATAACAGGCATAATGGAGACGTTTCAAAGACTACAACCTTCAGAAACGGCTCACCACAATCTCCAACATCACCACATTCAAATGTGCAGCAATCTTCACCATCCATATTAAGAACTTCAAATGGTACAGCTTCACCCTATGCTAAATCGAATATCAGGATGACTTTTAATGGTTACCAGAGCCCAAATCGTCCTTCCTCTATAGACAGGTTGAGTCCTAGTTCACGCTGCGATTCACCCGGTTTGTGCACCTTTTCTAAACAATCGCCTACGAATAAATTTCAAAATTCTCCAAGTACAAATGGAGTCGAGAGGAAGACTTTGATGACAACTGCCGATCTTTTCGCAGCTATACACAACTCGAAAAAGAAGCATAACATAAAAACAGACTTGGATATATCGTCCTCCTCCTTATCTTCTCGTTCTAGTTCTCCTTGCAATTCTACCACCTCAACTAAAAGTGTCCTAGCCGAAACTGGTTTCCTTAGCCCTAGAAATCAACTAAATATACCAAGAGATAGGAGAAGCTGGATAGGGGACTATAAATCGTTTTCACTACCTTCCGGTGATAGGAAAAGTCTAGCCAATGACCGTTTAGGACCTCCAAAACCGACCAGTATGTACGATTTTAAGATGCTACTCTTACAAGCCAGCAGAAACAATAACGACAGCCCCGGTGCAAGAATATCCGCGTCAGAGAGGTTAAAAGTTCAACCCAAGAACGAAATCAATGCCACGCGATCTCTACCGACGTCACCGATTAGAACTCCTCCACCGATTTTAACTGGTCATTCGACTGTGCCCATTAAGCGTGGTTCAAAAGCCAGATCGTCTCTACGTTACGATCTCATGTATCAACCTATTCTAGAAGATTGCTGCGAAGAAACCGAAGCACAAAAAAGTCCCAAAACCCCTCCAACTCGAACCCCTCTAGAAACATCCTTCGTCAATTCGACACCCAGCTGTGCCAATAATCTCCCCCCTCCTCAGCATTGGACTCAAGCATTCGTTCCCATTAGAACTGCCAATTCACGAGGTGCCAGCACATGGGTATAACGTTATTAATAACAAAGAAAATTTTTTTTAAAGTGTAATTTTTCATGTGCATTTAACTATTTAAAAAACAATGATTTTTCTTTGTCATTTATCGCACCATCCAATTTGTAAATGAGCAATGTGCCTTTTTATATAAGCTTAATTTCACGCTCAAATTGAGTTGTATAATGCAATTGGCCGCATGTTTTCTGTGCCTTTTTTAGGATACAGGAATTAAAACCTCAGGAAGTAGCATGACCTATGTACAGATGCATTTATTTATAAACAGTATTAAAAAATACCCGGTAACAAATCGATACAGAGAAGTACAAATCGCTAACATGAAGGGGGGATACGCAGCTCTTAGTACCTTTTCCTCGTATATGCCACACACACACACACACACACACACAAAGCTACCTTTTTCCTATTATCTTCCTCCTGTTTTTGTTAAGGACACCACGTGTAAGTTCACTGTTTGTTGACACAAAGTAGGATATCGTGTTGCAGATTATGTGACAGTTATTCCAAAAGTTGGCATGGCGTATGTACGCCATAAAAGCCAAGGAAGTGGTCACATAGTCTTTATATGTCTCGTGAGTTAAGTATAAGGTCCTTTCCCTTAGCCCATCTGTGCTTAGTTACAGGGGTAGCTTGGGGTTAAAATTATTAAACTAACGTTTAGATATCCTATCACCTCTTTTATCTATTAAATTTTTTAGAAGCACGGCCCATTGCTCAATATTTAAATAGTTCCTTTACACAAGTTACGCTACATCCTGTTGGTTTTAAATTGCGTGAAGGTAGCAGCTGGGATTGTTATGTATTGTACTTATCGAGTTGTAAACAAACTGTGACATTCTGTCTTGTATATTTGATTCTTTTCGTACTTGTTTTATTATTAATTTTTTTTTGTCTGTAGAAATTGCCTAAAAATATTAGTTTTTTAGAAACAAATAAATGTGTTTACATAAATTAATTTCTATTTGTTAATGTCTCATATTCTTAAAATATAATAGAAGTACAGTACAGTTAAACCTCTGGACAACGGCACTGACGGGAACATTAAAAAATGGCCGTTGTCGGAGGTTCGACTGTACCACAAATATCTTCAATAACGTTTAAACACCGAACAGGATATGTGATGACATTAGTAATAAATGTTTACTGACAATAGATTAAATAATGTCATGAGTGGCCTTCACTTATAAACATTTATTGCTACATACTTTTATGGAAATTACGGATAAGAACCTCATTCTAAACCTATGACTACACAACCTCTAGAATATTTAATAATAGGTCTTCTATATTTAATCGGTGAAGCTACCAGTAAATCGTTCATACATTTTTACTAAGAAATTAATAAGTATTTTTCCCTACAAAAGCTCAAATATAGAAGTAGCTTATAGTGCATACTTTCTCCAACAGATGGCGGCGTACACTATCCCTTTAATACTGTAACACTATATAATATAATTTAATCTTTTAAAATTTTAAATAAATATTATTTAAAAATATTTTAAAA